AATGAATTTAAACAAATATTCAATAAGCATAAGGTTTTACAAAAAAGTAAAAATTTATTTTGGGTCGGAGATTTAAATATTAATATAATTGAAGAGAATACAACTTTCTCCATTGACAGTTATATCTCATTAATGGCTGTTAATGGTTTGGAGTGTCTTATAAGGGAGCCGACAAGAGTTACGGATATTTCTGCAACTTGTATTGTCCACCGCTATGTGTGCTATGTGCGGGTATCAAGTAAAAACATGATATCTGTGTATGCGTCGGTTATTCATGCCGGCCACACAGACCATGCCATGTGCCGAGTGGACGTGCAGGTGGTGAGTGGTGGGAGGGGGGGAGGTGGACTAGCCGTGTCCTCTCCGTCCACCACGAGATACCGCACGGACTTTGGTCTGCTCAGACAGTGTCTGGGTAGAGAGGACTGGGCTAATGTATACAGTCAAACTGATGTGTCGTCAGCTTTTGACTCATTTTCAAATATTTTTCTTAATTATAAATCTGAATGCAAAGTAGTAGTAAATAGTAACGGAAATAATAAATTAAAGTTTCTAAAACCTTGGATGAGTCAGTACATTTGTTTAAAAATCAAGAGAAGAAATAATATTTTTAGCCAAGTCCGAAAGCATCCAAATAATGAGAGGTTGAGGAACTATTACAAAATGTATAGAAATAATTTACAAAAGGAAATAAAGGCCCTGAAAGACAATTACTATAAGCAAAGATTTCAAAATTGTCAGGGTAATTCAAAAGCAACTTGGAGGGTTTTAAATGAGCTAACGGGTCAATCAAAGAGCCAAGAAAATAAATTACAATTAGAAATAGGTAGTATTACTGTTGAGGACCCAAAAGTTGTATCGAATGAATTTAATGATTTTTTTATAGGTTTGGTTGAAAATCTGAAATTAAATAATTCTGTACCTGATTATTTCCTCTCACTGGAGTATAATAAAATTTTTCCTTGAAAAAGTGAAGTTAAATCTTTTTTTATAGATGAAGTAAGACGTGATGAACTTGTGTCTGTAATTAATAGCTTGAAAAACAACAAAAGTCCAGGAATAGATGGTGTCAGTGCAAATTTAATAAAAGAGGTTTCAGAACAGATTTTGGATGTTCTTTTATTTTTAATTAATTTCAGTTTCCAAGGTGGTGTTTTTCCCACCAAACTGAAGACTGCAGTCGTGATACCTATTTTCAAAAGTGGATCAAAATTGCAGTGTAATAATTATCGTCCAATATCTTTGTTGTCATGTTTCTCTAAGATTTTTGAGAAGCTAATGAAGAAAAAGCTTTTACACTTTCCCAGTTATACTAATTTTTTTAGTATTCATCAATTTGGCTTAAGATCAAATCTAAATACAGAACATGCTCTTTTAAATTTTCTACAAAATATTTATGATGGACTGAATAAGGGTGAATGTGTGAGTGGTTTATTTTTAGATATCAAGAAAGCTTTTGATACGGTTGATCATGAAATTTTATTAAATAAATTGTACAAATGTGGGATAAGGGGTATTGCTCAAAATTGGTTCAGAAGCTACTTAATGGATCGGCAACAATGTGTAAAAATTAATTCAGTTATGAGTGAAATGGGAGTAGTGAGAAGTGGTGTTCCCCAAGGTTCAGTCCTTGGGGCAATTTTGTTCATAATTTACATAAATGATTTATGTAATGCTCAATTTCATGGCAGATTAACATCTTTCGCGGACGACACAGCTCTTTGCTACACAGGACACAATTGGAATGCAATAGAATTGGCAATGACCAAAGATCTCAGGGCACTGCAGTGGTGGTTCTCCACCAACCACATGCTGCTCAGTGCTGAAAAAACAAAATTCATAAATTTCAATCTCAGGAAAGAAATTGTTTTTTCAAACGAAATCATTTATCATTCTGCTGATTGTATCAGTAAGCAAAATGTGTGTACTGATAAATGTGAGATTGTCAGACAAACAAGCAACATAAAATATCTGGGGATCCTTTTGGATAGTGAAGTTAACTGGAAAGTACACATATCTAAATTGAAAAATAAAATCAATAGTATTTTGAGGTATTTTTATTTTCTTAAGGATATGACCAGTGAACAAGTGTTACGTACTCTGTATTTTTCTTTGGTTCAGAGCAGAATTGAATATGGGATAATCTTTTGGGGGAATGCGTATCACACTCACTTAAATCCAATCATCATTCAGCAAAAACATTTAGTAAGATTAATTTCACGTAAAGGCAAATTTGAATCATCTCTTCCACTATTTATCAAAAAAAAAATTCTTCCATTAAAATATCTTTTTGTTTATAAAGTTTTAAAGATGTTTTACAGTAAAAGTGGAAATATGATTCCCAATGACAATACCTATCGAAATAAACTTAGGAATGCGGAAAAGTTTTTACTACCACGACCAAACAATACATTTTTTACCAAATCATACAGTTTTTTAGCACCAAAAATGTTTAATCTTCTGCCTAATAACATAAAGAATGTAAATAGAGGCAACCTTTTTGCCGCTAAATTGAAAAAATGGTTGTTAAGTTTAGAGGAAATTGACTATTTATTTTTAATTATAAAATAGGTTCAATGTAGATAAGCTTAAGATAGATACAGAGATAAGGGCGCACTTTGGCAAGCTCTGCCACTCAGGGACTAAGCATTGCATGCTATGGGCTATGAAGGCACTTGTGTCCGAGCCGCCTGGTGGCAGAGTGCGGTGCGCGGTTTGATTTTTTCAAACCTTAGTTTTTTCAGTTACGTTATTATGTTCTATCATTTATAGTATTACGTTTATATTATGGCACCTTATCATGTATAGAGATCTCATTTTTTTAATTTACAATCCTGATTATTTTGTCTGATCGCTGTCTTTTATTTATTTTTTTGGTTATTTTATAATGAAGGAACCCCCAAACAGGCTTTGTCTCGGGGGCCCTACATTCTCTCCCAATAAATTGCACAAAAAATAGAATGAAATTAAAATCATCTAGGTATAATTCTTAGGTTTCTTTATTATGTTAATATTGTTGTGAATAAGCCAGTGTTTTTTTTTTCTTCTTAGTCAGTCTGACACGTGGGACATTTAGTTTTAATAGAATTTTATATCAATTTCTTTTTATAGCGTTTGTGCATTGTAATTTTAATTATTGTAATACTTGTATTACTGGGAGAAAATAAATATTCTTATTCTTATTCTATTGCTATTACCGTAGGTCTCATGCTAAGACCTGGACCCGGGACCGATTTATTTTTTCGTTTTGAGGTCCCCAGAGGCCAAAAACATATATATATATATATGAATTTGAATGGATGGTGTTTTTGGCCTCTGGGGACCTCAAAACGAAAAAACATTGTTGGAAACAATATAAATAACAGTTAAGTGTTTAATGTATTTTGAAGTTTGAAAATGGACTAATGTCCGAAACATGTCACTTCTTCGTGCTCAGTTGTACTTATTTACTTAAATATTGAATATATCAGCAGCCCTATTACGTGAACACATAAATTTAAAAAAAAATATATATATATATATACTAGTGGCCTGTAGGGACCATAGCCCCTAATTTAGACTACAATAAAAAAACATATATAAAAAGACAAATATTCTAAATATGTTTCTAAAATTCGAGCAAAAATTATCCGATTTTGATGAAATTCTGTATAAATGTGTTGACCTACATTTGTTTGAACGAGTTTGCAAACCAGCATGATCCAACACCATGGGAACGGGGGTTTTATTGGGTAAAAATGGGGTTTTTTCCATTTTTGACCCTAAAAACAATAAATTTGACAATTTCTTTCTAAACCATTTTGTAAAAAGAGCTTAAAAAAGAAATAATTTAGTATAATGAAGCGCTGTTGTATGCCTAAGGGTTACGGAGAAAATGGAAAAAAGTGTAATTTAAAATGCCATTGTTATTTTTATGGAGAAAATTAAAACTGTTGTAGTTTACTTGTTTATGGATATATGTTGATTAAATTTGGCAAGTTTATTTATTTCATCCAATACTATTTACATATGGTCAAAAACACTTTTTACCTTCCCTGTAGCAGCAACCCTAAGCACTCGTTATATCTAATGTTATTTAAATTGGAAAAAAATGTCATATTTATGGAAATATTTTAGTAAAAATGTAATCAGACAAGTTGAAATTTGCTTAGTCTGTAGGTTTGCTGTGGCGGGGGTATTTATCTTTGTTGATTATTACTAGTTACAAATTCTATCTCAGTTATCAATAATTTACATTGTGTAAGTCTAATGTCCTCTATCTTACTGTCCTCCAGTCATAAACTAAAACCTCTTTGGTTTAAGGTTTGTTTATTATCGGCTGTTATATTTATTTATTTTGTTTTAAACTTGACGTAGACTACCGCCTTTCTCCATGCTCCACGGGGGAGCGAGCTGGTGACTTCAGTCCCTGAGGTCCCAGGTTCAAATCCCGCCAAGTCACCAATGGTTTTATCTAAGTGATAATGCCGCAACCCCTAGGTCTAGCCTGAAGTAATATGAAAAACAATCCCGGGCTCGTGCCTAGCGTCCAAGGACAAAAAAAAACCGCCTTCCTCCATGCGATTGTTTTCAAATTTAACTATGTATTACTGTTTGAGATTAAGAGAAAACACAAGTAACTCGACTAGGGAGTACTAACTATTCTTTTGTTGATGTTTACAACTTTTGTTCTTATTTTGTTGCCAAAGTAGTAGTAACCCATAAGGCTCATTGTATTACATTTCAATTTTTTTTTTTTTTTTTTTTTTTTTTGCATAATTAGATCTTTGTTGGCAGTTTTAACTGGATGAAACAAGTTTTTAGGACATAAATCAATTATTTACAACATTTGAAGGAAATCGTCAAAGCCGTTTTTGAGATCTTTGTGAAAGCAAGCAAGCATACATACAAGCAAACATTGCACATATAAGAGTATAGGATCTTATCTAATGAAGTTTGTACAACTAAATAATTAAGTTACAACTGAATAATTAAGAAATAAATTAAGTCTCAGTTCTTACCAGCACTTCTAGCAGGAGGGAACGGATCTCTCATGGCTCTTATAAACGCAGATATAAGAACCTTCTGCCGAATCTGTGGATGTAAGTGTTGAGCTATCTTCCCTAAGCATACTGTGGTGTTTGTTCTAATTCCTCCCTAAAATTTAAAGTTCAATTAAAATATATTATGCCAATAGATATATAAAAAGTTCTATTGCAAAATGTCCTGCACATCTCAGGAGAACTGTTAAAGATTTAATTTCTTGTGTTTTTAAACATGTGAGTAAGTTGTTGTGAGTTAAAACCTGATGATAAAATAATTACTGTATATAAAAAATAAATACAATAATTTATTCACATGTATACAACATACACACATTAAGATTTCATTAAAATTCTAATTTTAATTAGATTAGTTTTTAATTTTTGTGCGATACATGTTGTGTGTCGTACATGTAATATTATAACAAAATTATAAATTATTGAAACGATTTCTAAGTGTAGAACCTCAATAATTCAAAATACTTCATAAATTAAATTTTGTTTATTCCCCTTGAACACTATGTGTTGCAATGTTAATTTTACCTCTACAATTAGAATAAGAACTAGAGCTCGCTCCGTGTCACCCCTTGCTGTAAATAAAACATGTGATTGGAATTTCTTCCATTTGTATTGATTTTCTGTTTATATTTTGTTGTTATTTTGTCACCAAAATGGCAACCCACAAGGCCCATCTTATTTTTTTTATTCTGCAGGGGATTCTGCACATCTTTCAGGCAAATATCTTTCTAACAGAATGCGTAGATTTTCCCTGCAATGCACAGGAGCTGAGAAAAATTGTTTTTGATAAACATGCTTGTCTATTGATATATAGAATTAGCCCCATGTTAAAACCCCATAAGAACAGTAAAATTTCAATTTTTGACCCAATTAACATAAATATACTCAAAACTAGTGGCTTGTAGGGACATAAGTCCCTAAAAAGCTCAAATGTAAAACAACTTTTTGCAATACCGGTATTCAAACAAACTCCGAATAACATCATCTATGTGTCAGAATAGGCATCCCTACACCATATCTTTTGTGTAAAAACCAGTTTGTTGTTCTTCTTTGTTTGCTTTTGTTGATGTCATTTTCAATAAATAATTTGAATCACTCCAGTGGTTTAACATGAAAAGTCAGCAAACATATAATTGTTTGTGAATAAATACTGGTTTACTAAGGTAGCTTTGGTCTTGTGGTTAATGAGGATAAATAAAAGCTTCCATGTTTGGAATTTTAAAAATTCATTGGAGGTTCGCCTTCAGATGAATTGAAGACACCTGCAATTTCATCTGCAGTAGGCTTATTATACCTACGACGATCCATATTTATCCTGTCTACAAACCTAAGTTCTAATTCACTGTCACCTTGTACAACCATTTTTTCCGAAGCTCTTTTGTAAATTTGTGCAAATGGATTTTCTAATAGAATTTCAGCTAGTTTTGACAATATTTCAGGTTTTAAGTCACTATTTTCTCGACGCCTTTGATGAATTTCTGTTGCTGTTGATGTGTCAATAATGTACAATTGGCCATTCACGGGGTCTTCATCATGTTGAGGCAGCAAATCTGAGATTGAACGATAAATCTGTCCTTGAATTTTGAAACAGTATGGTCCTTTTCCTGGAATATCTTTCTTACTGGCTGAAAAATAAGCAAAAGCCATCGCACTGTTGCATTGTCGAATGAATTTACAGTTGTGGGCTCTCTTCAAACAAACTTTTAAGTTCTACATTAGTTTTTGACTGAGGAAGGTTAATAAGTCCGTTATGGTAACATGTCATAAAATGATTATTCGTTAGTTCTTCTCTAAAATGAAGAGCACTACATTGAATGCACTCTTGGTCCAGTAATCCTGCATCATGGATCTTTACATTTCTCTCGTCTACCATGGGTCTCCTAAAAAGGGGTTGTAACATATCTTGATTAAGTTCGTCATTATCTACTCTTGCTCTCCTACGCGCACTGTCATTCCTATGAACAGTTCCCCGCCTTTGTGGTATTCCCCTGGCGTTCATATTAATTACAGTACTTATAATGAAAAGAATATATATCCAGCAGCCTACATACCAAAACATCTTGAATCCCTGGTGAGTTTATAAAAGTATGATCGAATATGATTACTCTACGTTGTATATTCACTGCACTAAAAAAAATTTACTTACGAAGGAATGCAAATACACCATTTTAGAACCAATAACATTTATAGGTTATTTTAGTTGTATATATTTACACATCCTTAACCTTAAAATGTGTAGAAATATAAAGAAAACAACATCATTTAAAATAAACTTGAACATATGATTTAAAAATAAAAACAAAACAGAAGTTAGATTTAATTTCGACTCTTTGATTATTTATACAGAATATTTATTCTATGTCGTTTATTCCTTTAACACGACAATAACGTAAAAGCATGAAAAAATGAAACTTGAGTATATGATTTAAATATAAACAAAGAATGCAGACGTTTTTCCGACTACTCTTCAATATTTCAGTTTTATTATAGTATACATAGCATAGTTGACTGGCTAAAAGTAAACCAAATGCGTGTATTGATCACTGTTTTCAAATCTGTGGCACAGCTGTTTTAATTTAAAAAGATGTAAACAAATTAAACCCCATGTTGTTTTAATGGGAAAAGTTTTATTCTGTTGTGAATTTATGGTAAAAAAATAAGAAAAATGTATAGTTTTCCCTCAAAATTCACGTCAAGACCTTTAAAATAAGACCCCTCCCATCCTTCTACGGTCATCCAGTCACTCACAATTTCTTTACAAAAATTTGACTTACGGAATTATATATATAGATACAAAATAAAACCTGCACATACAGGACCGAACACCCTTCTCTTGGTACAACCCACGTGTAATTTGGTCCAGTAGTATGGTCATGCTAGCTGTCATAAGTTTTGCAAACATTTTTTAATATATTTATACAGGGTGAGTTTCTACTGACGCCCATAACATCACCAGTGGATTCTAATGATCAAAAGGTACAAAAAAGTTGCAATAAACCCTAGTCCGATTCCGAACCGTTTGGTCGTAATTGAGAATTTTGTGATTGCTAAAAATATTGGACTTTCTGTCACTATTTACTTCATAAAAATAAAACCAATTAATCTAGCGATTCACATGAAAAATCAACAAACTATTACAATTCATTGGCTGTAGTTTTTTGGGTGCGCTTTTGGTTGATGTTATTTTCAATAAATAATTGTAATCATTCCATAGGTTTAACTCTGCTAAAGGCAGCAAACTAAGCAATAAAATAGTATGAAATTTGTTATATTTATGAACTCAAGTTTTTGTTTCAGTTGTGGGTGGACTAGTTTTTAGCGAATTTCCCTATAGGGAAGTAGCTATTACCGTAGGTCTCATGGTAAGACCTAAGCCCGGGACCGATTTACTTTTTCATTTTGATGTCCCCAGAGGCCAAAAACACCATTCGTTCAAATTTTTATATATCTATATATATAGATATATATATATATATGTGTCCATCCGCACGATAACTTGAGTAATTTTTGTCCGATTTTGATAAAATTTGGTTTGAAGGTGTAAGGCGGGATAAACTTGAATGAGTTCCCGAACCAGCATGATCGGACTATGGGAACGGGGGTTTATGGGGGGTTTTATGGGGTAAAAAAAGGTTTTCCCCATTTTTGACCCTAAAGACACAAAATTTCACAATTTCTTTTTAAACCATTTTGTAGAGCTTAAAAAAACAAATAATTTAGTATATTGAAGCATTATTATGCGCCTAATTGTTATGGAGAAAATTCAAAAAAATTGTAATTTTAAAATTCCCATGTTATTTTTATGGAGAATAAGTCAACTGTTGTAGTTTGCTTGTTTATGAACATATTTTGATAAAAGTTGGAAAATACATTAATTTCTTACTAAACCACAGTACCTTTTAATATTCTACATAAAAAAAAAACTTTTTTAACCTCCCTGTTGCAGCAAACCTAAGTACTCAATAAACTAATTCTGTTTAAATAGGGAATAAATGTGATATTTTTAAGGAGTCATTTTAGTTTAAATCCAATCAGGCAAATGGAAATTCGCTAAGTGTGCAGGTTTGCTGCGACGGGGGTATTTATTACATTTATTTACAAACTACATAGGCTCTTTTGTTATATGATAAGGTAAACATACCAAATACCGAACGGTTAAGGTTAGGTTATGAATTAATCTGTAAAATATATTTATAGGTATAAAGTAAGCTTTATTTGTTGTTATTAAAATGATTGCTTATATTTCCAGATTTAATTTTCAGCGTTTGAAGTCAATAATAATAATATTTATTACCAGAAATTGTGTTTTTTTCAACCAATACCAAAAATTTTGAAACTGCCTAATACCGAATTCGAATTTCCTAATACCGAATTTGTGCCGCCTAATACCGAACGGCAATTCCGCCGGCGCCCAGGAAGCCCAAAAACGTATTGAAAGCAATTTTTATTCTCATTTAGTTCTTAAATTATATCTCATACAAGATTTAACAAATAAAAATAACAAGAGTTGAGTTAAAACATGGTTGTGAAGGGGATGATCTCATTACGTCAGCTGGTATTGGTTAGACATTCTCTGGAATGTGAGTCATGTAAGTGGAGATGGGGTGAGTTGACCTCTGGTATGTTTTTTGCATATCCTACTAATATTATAAATGAGAAAGTTTGGATGGATGGATGTATGGATGTATGGATGTATGTTTGTGACAAGTGAACGCGAAAAATACTGGTCGGATTGGGCTGAAATTTGGCATGATGATAGCTCACATTCCCGATTAACATATAGGCATATTCTTATCTCAAAAATCCTTTTGGGCTCCGCCCCAGTGGCTCTGGAGTTTCCCATGTTAACCTTATGAGAAATGGAATTATTGAATCTTAACAGCTGTTTCAATTAAACAAGTTGGTTCTGTTCTATGATTTTCAATAGCATTAAAGTTACAAGGATTACCAACAGGGTGCAGCACTATTATTTCTTTTACATTTATGACAACAGCTAATTTGCAACCAAAAGGTGAGTGAGCGTAGCGAACGAACTTCAACCTGGAGGCGAGTTAGCGTAGCGAACGAGCTAACCTGAAGGCAAGTGAGCGCAGCGAA